GACGTCCACGCCTCGCGCGGCGACCCCTTCTACCCCGCCGTCCGCGTCATCGACGAGGTCGTCGAGCACGCGGTGCTGTGCTACCACAAGCACAGCCTGCTCGACTTCATCGGCGAGCTGGCGAACCAACTCGGGCTGCACTACACCCCGCAAACGGCCTGGGGACGGGCCCTGATCACCGAGGCCTCCCACCGCCTCCGGGCCAGGCTGACCTGCTCGGAAAGCGAGCGCGGCCGCGTTCACTCGGTCCCGAAGGGGGAATGCCCCGAGAGACGCGACGCGGACGGCCTTCGCGTCGACCCGGCGAGAGACGAACGGGACAGACGGAAGGGGCGTCCGCTTCCGGGCGAGGGCGAGACGACGAGCGCCGTCGTACTCGATCTCGACCCGCTGCAGCTCCCCTCGTGGGGGCCGCCGAGGTGCGAGCATATCGATTTATTTAAAAAGTACGAGCGCGTCTGTAAACTCGGGGACTTTTCATGCCCTCAAGACAGCTTCGGTGAAACGAAAGAGGAAGGGGCGAAGAAGGATGAATATAGCGATGCGATGAGCGAAAACGTAGCGTGTGTTTCGGTTGATGCGGCCAACTCGGACGAAGAGGAGGATGATGATATTGTTCGCGGCGTCGCCTCAATGAGCAACCCGGTTAACTGCGCACTCAATCTCCATCCTTGCTGGGGGGATTCCGAAGAGCGCCTCCTCCTTCGCGAGCTGGATTATGTCAAGGAGTTCTTAATCGAAAATCGCCACGTGCTCTCCTCGGCCTCGCTAACGGTTTCGGGATCTAACCTGCTTGAGGGCGTCTTTGGGGTTCCCGCCACGGTCTTCCCTTTTTTGATTCACGCCCGCGAAAGTCTTTCCTTTATCACCTCAACTTTTGAATGCATTGAAAATCACTACGGTCCGCTAAAGTACGAAAATTTTGCAACTTTTATAAAGGATATGTTTTATATAGATCGTCCGGATATTGTTCGCCATACACCGCGGATTTTTCGAACCCTGGACGCAAAGAGGCGTGGAGTAATTAGTTTTGAAGAGTTTTGCAGCTGGTTTGCAAAGAAGCTGAGCTGCGGTAGCAATTTAGATCCAGATGCGCATTTAATAACGATTTCTATGACCCTACGCCTTCCATTGGCGTTGATACTCAATCTGAAACCTCTCTGGCATGGAAGGAAATGTGCGTTTGAGTCTTTTTTAGATTGTGATGTTGAATATTGAAGTAATATAAGAATATGCATATTTTAAAAATCGCTTGACATTGCACATAACCCTATAGAATCACAATCAAGAATTTTTTTATTTGAAGAAAAATATTGTGTTTTTATTATTATTATGAAGATAATCAAAAAAAAACGTAATGTTTGCATGATTTTTTATCTTTCTATTGGTTTGAGGTTTGACTAACTCGTGTTCTGAAGCAAAAAAAATTTGGACGAAAAGGAGACAACACAAGAGAGAGCTAGATATTCATTCAACGGACGTTTGTTTTTTATCATCTCTTAATAAACATACTTAACGAAGGATTTAGAATCTTAATTGGTGTTTTCTTAGTTTATTAAATTATTATTAATGTACTCATTTTTTTATTAGAAGCTTTTTCACGAAGCTCATATCAAATTCATGTATTGATACAATATATAAATTCCCCTTACCCTTTTTATATGTCTATGTTTTCCCCTTTTTTATTATTTTTGTGAGTGTGCGTGTGTGTGAAGCTAACGTATCGGATAGCCCGCCATGCACTCCCTCGGCAGTGCACTTGACCTTTGATCTCTTTTTCATGTCTCGTTATCCCCCTCACCTGCAGCCTTTTCTCCACCTCAATCACCCACTCTATGTAGACCCTCACACCCACAATCTCTGTTACAGCAGTACAACAGACATATTTCCTCACACCCACAATCTCTGTTACAGCAATCTCAATTCAACTATCCCAACCCACTCATTCCCCCTACCACCCTTGGAGACATGTTTAAGGCCGCGAAGCAATGGTCGAGCTGGAAGATCCGGATGCCAGCGACGGCGGGGGCGCTGAATTACCCCCGTCTCCGCCCCTTCGGCCTGGTGGTGGCGACGGATGCCAAGCACGGCATCGGGGACGGCCTGGCCATCCCCTGGGCTGTCCCAGAGGACATGGCCTTCTTCAAGACCCAAACCAGTAAACTTCGGGGAAAGAATGCCCTTCCTAGCCTCGCCCCTGGGGGGAAGATCAACGCGGTCATTATGGGGCGGAAGACCTGGCAGAGCATCCCGGGCAACTTTCTCCCGCTGCAGGATCGGCTCAATGTTGTCCTTTCATCCACCACCTCGCGCGAGGAGCTGCTCAACGCGCTGCCGGAAAAACGCCGTGAGAAGGCGGCCGAGCTGCTCATGGTGATTCCGGGCGGGATGACCGAAGCGCTGGAAATGCTTGCCCGACCGCCGTACATCGACCGCGTGGAGTCCGTCTATTGCATCGGCGGGGCGAAAGTCTACGCGGATGCAGTGCAGGCCCCTAACGTGGACTATTTACACGCCGTCTACGCCACGCGAATCGCCCTATCGGACCCGAGCTGTACGCGGTTTTTCGAATTCCCCACCCCACAGTCCGCGAAGACCTGGGCGCTGGAGTCCACCACGGGGGATATGGTCAGCAAGAATAAGGATCTGACACACTACGCGATCGAAAAGTACATCCCGCATAACTTTGAGGAGCAGCAGTACCTCCAGATCATCGAGCGCATCCTTCGCGATGGGGTCGAGAAGGACGACCGCACGGGTGTCGGGACGCTCAGCGTGTTCGGCGCCCAAATGCGCTTTTCCCTTCGCAATAATCAGCTCCCTTTGCTCACCACCAAACGCGTCTTTTGGCGGGGCGTCTCCGAGGAGCTGCTGTGGTTTCTCCGCGGCGAGACAAACGCAAAGCTGCTGAGCGATAAAGGGGTTCATATCTGGGATGATAACGGCTCCCGTGCGTTTCTTGATAGCCGCGGATTGCACGACAACGAAGAGATGGATCTCGGCCCTGTTTACGGCTTTCAATGGCGGCATTTCGGCGCGGAGTATACAAACCACCGGGCGAACTACGACGGGAAGGGTGTAGATCAAATCAAATACATCGTGGAAACGCTCAAGACGAGACCAAACGACCGGCGGATGCTCTTCATCGCGTGGAATCCGTCCGCACTGCATAAAATGGCGCTCCCGCCCTGTCATCTTCTCGGGCAGTTCTACGTGAACCCGGTGACGAAGGAGCTCTCGTGCATGCTTTACCAACGCTCCTGCGATATGGGGCTTGGCGTGCCCTTTAATATCGCTTCTTACGCCCTTTTGACAATTCTGATCGCGAAGGCGACTGGGTTAAAGCCCGGAGAGCTCGTACACACCCTTGGGGATGCGCATATCTACAAAAATCACGTTTCAGCACTGAAGGAGCAACTCAAACGGGCTCCTCGGTCTTTTCCGATCTTAGTTTTCAACAAAGATCATGAGTACTTAGAGGATTACCAAGTTGAAGATATGGAGGTGATAGATTACAATCCGTATCCGACTATCAAAATGGATATGGCGGTTTGAACTCCGTCTACACGTCCTTATCGACACACACAAAAAAAGAGACAATGGCATGACAAACCGATCTTTAAATCTGTTTTCATAGAACCAATGATTTATTATTTTTATAGATAAAATGATGTCGGCGAAAATTCAATTCGACATCGTATGATAACCAGTTTTTTTTTAAGGGAATAAGATAGCAAGGTAAACAGGAACTTATAAAAATTCTAAAAGGTCTGTTTCGTCTAACTTGGGCTTCGTTTTTTTAAAACGGAGCAACTCTATAGTCACCCTTCTTTTATCGTCAAGCTCAAATATTTACTTTATCCAATAGAATAATGAAAAAAAATAAGAGAATGTATAATGAAATTAAATTTAGGCAAGTCAAATAATATTTTTGCTGAATATTTAACGATTGACCATGTTCGACTGATTTAGCATCCTTACTGATTTACCGAAATAAATGTAGACTTCAAATTTACTTTTTTCAGTTTACAACATGGTAAATCCATTTTTCTAACATATACGATTTTACCATAACATAGCTTTGAACAATAAATCTCTCTATATATCTATCACTTTTATACCTAATTTTTGTTAGCGTGAATAGCCCAGTCAAAAAAATGTTTGATTAGCGGCTTATAAAAAAATGAAACGCGTTGTATGGTATATTTTTCTGTTTGCGGCATTTAAAAATCGCACCATGGTGTTTATTCGATTAACCAATTCCATCCCCGGTCACCCTTCTCACCCCACCCTAATTTCTAAATGCGCCTGTTGTTCTTCTTCAGCTTAGCCTCACCAACGTCAACGGTGCTCCACCCCACGCCAGTTGTTCCCTCCTGTTCAGACAACTCCCCGTGGATCCCCCCCCCCACACAAAAAAAAAATTAAGTGCACCGTCGCCCAGCGGCTCGTCTTGGCGTCCCTCCCTCCCCCCCTTCCGCGGCCGCCGTGACGCCATGCCTCCCCCCAAGACGCCCCAGCCCGGCCGCGACGCCGCGGTGGCCTCAACCCCGAAGCGCCCCCCCGCAAAACCCAAGCCGGCCAAGCCTCCCAAGGCCTCTTTTCAAGGGGAAATTGGC